CTCTCTGTTTCTCTCTCTCTCTCTCTCTCTCTCTCTGTCTCTCTCTCTCTCTCTCTCCCCACCCCCTTATACTGAATGGCCGTTTAGGGTCGACGTTGATATGCTCCAAATTTCCTTTCTCAGTTAAGAACATCATTTGTTGTTAAGATCAAAGAGTGAGGGAGTGGCAGCTGCTCTTGTGTGGTTTGCCTCCTCTTCCCTATCAAAACTCATATCGCCCTTGTGTGTCCTTTTTGTGTTTTACTCTCTAGTAAAATCTAATCTTTGGCACATATAACCTATTTTTGTCGCAAATGCCGTGAAACTCATACTTGTTGGTGGTTGGCGGGTGCTCTGGTGTGGTCTGGTGTTGTCTGCTCGTTCTGCTCCTTCTTTTCTATCAAACATATATCGTTCTTATCTCTCCTCTTTCTTTTCTATCAAACATCTGTCCTCCTTATCTCTCCTCTTTCTTTTCTGTCAAACATATACCGTTCCTATCTCTCCTCCTTCTTTTCTATCAAACATCTATCGTTCCTATTTCTCCTCCTTCTTTTCTGTCAAACATCTATCGTTCCTATCTCTCCTCTTTCTTTTCTGTCAAACATCTATCGTTCCTATCTCTCCTCCTTTGTTTGTGTTTATCACTCTCCCGTACCACCTAGTATTCGGCACTTATCTGACCTTTTATACAGTTGCGAGTGCCGTAAAAACTCTACTAAAACAACATTATATAACATTGTTTTGTTGCAAGTGCCGTAAAACTGTTACTAAAGCTAAAACAAACTCAAATTTCAACCAAATTCAAACGAACTGTACTGTGATGTGACGTATTACTGTTTGAGGCACAACACCGCTACGGAAATGATGGTGGTAGCGAGGTAGTCGTTGCAGTCGTGGTGATGTCCGTGACCTCGGTCTGTCGTGAGAGAGAGAGAGGGAGAGAGAGGGGGGGAGAGGGGGGAGAGGGAGAAAGGAAGGAAGGAAGAAAGAAAATGGAAAAGAAGAAAAGAGAAAGTGAGAGAGAGAGAGAGAGAAAGAGAG